AGTTATGAATCAAAATTTAAAACAACTCCAACATAATCATTTTTTACACATTCTGATGTAATTTTCTCGAAAACTATGCAAGATAATTTCATGAAAGTCATCATACATTCGTTTCTGCACAAGATCTTGGTTTCTGCTGAAAATTGCCAGAATCGGTCCATAATTTCATATACTTCTCATACAAAAGTACATATTCCCGAAAAATGGGTTTTTTGTTAATAACTTCCGCCAGAATGTCGATATATTCACAAAATTTTACAAATCAAAATCGTATGTCAATAGAATTCATTCAGAGAAAAAATTTTCTGGATCGGTCCATAATTGGACATAGCTCCCATACAAGGTCCCCTCCCGAAAATCACTTAAACGCGCATAACTCATTACTAAATTAAGATATCCATATAAAATTTGGAATAAGTATTTCTCATATGCACAGAAATATTAGTGTGGAAGTTTTTTCCGATCGGTCCATAATTGGACATAGCTCCCATACAAGGTCCCCTCCCGAAAATCACTTAAACGCACATAACTCATTACTAAATTAAGATATCCATATAAAATTTGGTACAAGTATTGCTCTTATATACAGAAATATTACTATGAAATTTTTTTCCGATCGGTCCATAATTGGTCATAGCTCCCATACAAGGACCCTTCCCGAAAATCACTTAAACGCGCATAACTCATTACTAAATTAAGATATCCATATTTGGACTAAGTATTGCTCATATGTACAGAAATGTTACTGTGAAATTTTTTCCCGATCGGTCCATAATTGGTCATAGCTCCCATACAAGGTCCCCTCCCGAAAATCACTTAAACGCACATAAGTCATTACTAAATTAAGATATTCATATAAAGTTTTTTACAAGTATTGCCCACATATACAGAAATATTACTATGAAAGTTTTTTTTCCGATCGGTCCATAATTGGTGATAGCTCCCATACAAGGTCCCCTCCCGAAAATCACTTAAACGCACATAACTCATTACTAAATTAAGATATCCATATAAAATTTGGTACAAGTATTGATCACATATACCGAAATATTATTATGGAAGTTTTTTTCGGATCGGTCCATAATTGGTCATAGCTTCCATACGAGGTCCCCTCCCGAAAATCACTTAAACGCACATAACTCATTACAAAATATTGATATCTATACATTTAGCACAAATATTGCTCTTATATACATAAATTACACTATAAAATTGTTTTGCGATCGGTCCATAACTGGTCATAGCTCTCATACTAGGTCCCCTTCAGAAAATCACTTAAATGTAGAATATTCATTGCATTGCATTGAATTTTGAAATTTTGTCTTTATATACATAATTGGTCATAGCTCCCATACAAGGTCCTTTTACGAAAATCTTTTAAAACGCACATTACCAAATAAAGCTATTGATACAAAATTTGGCACAAATATTAGTTTGGTATACAAAAATTATATTTCAAGATTTTTTCACGATCGGTTCATAACATGGGTACGGTCGGTCCCATGCAAGTGTCCCTTCAGAAAATCACTTGAACACACATTACTTACTACTAAATTACGATATAGATACAAAATTTGACTGAAATATGTACAGAAATTTTGCTTAAAGAATTTTTTTTGGACAATCCAGCCAAGTCTAGTCAGGCTGGCAACCCTAGATACAGAGTACTACACTATAATGCTTCCACTAATAATCAATTAAGTAGTAACTTCTTAAAGCTAGCAAATTGTTTAACTTTACAAATTTTCATATTTTCTAGATCGAACAAAACAAAATCAATATGTGACATTTACTGCTTCCTTGTTCTTGAACTTTTGTTGTTTTTTTTTTTCATCTACCACATGATTCTCTTTAAACAAAAGGGAAATGAATCCATTAAAAACAAAAAATTTCCATAATACTTAGTACTTGGTTTTACAAATATGACATAGAAAAATTTTCAATTTTAAATGGCATTGTATGTGGGTCACTTGAGATACAAATGATTGTATTTATAATCTGGGCAACATTTCCATATGTACTAGAGAAAATACAAGCCGTACGAAACTGTATAAATGTGAATAAATTGCTAAACATTTCTCTTTCATTTGGAGTACTATGTTGTTGTAGTTGTTTTTTAGTTCAGTAGAGTTAGATTTATTGTAGTTTTACTTATTTGTTTAGTTTAGTACAAAAACTTCCTAGAAACCTTGAACTAGGATTTAAACAGAAACAAAAAAACATTAAAACGTATAGTTGTTTTGAGAAAAACTTTATGTAAAATTTCAAAATATACCAGTTTTTACACTATGTTCGTGAAGGTTGTTTTCCATTCTAACACATAAATCAAATTGTAACTCAAAGATTTTTGCTTAAATATGATAATCTTTTAAACAAATCAAAGGAGAAAATAAAACAAGAGAAATATATCAGTTTGATGCAGCCAAATCCTACTTGTCTATTGAGAAGAAAAAATATATATTTTTTTTTCATAACAATTCAAACAAATGTCTTGTATAATTTGTATATGTTGCTTATGTCAAAGTTCAAGAACATTGGTTTTTTGTTTTAAAATTTATAATGAGTTTAGTGTATAAATGTTAACAGTTTCATACTTGGCTTAAATGTTAAATAGTAACAAAAACCTCAGAGAAATGTTTACCACACTCGAATACTCAAAATTCTATTGGTCAATTACCATTGTTTTTAAGCACAATTTTGTATGTCTGTATCCTTGAGCATGTTTTTAAAATATTTGTTTGTATGTATAAATATATGTATATGTATGCATGTTTTTAACTTGGTTTAATTTTGTAGTTAAAGTAGGTTATTAGAAACGTTTTTAAAAATAGTTTTTACATTGTTCACAGAGATTTATAATTTATTAGAAAAATTTTTAAAATATTGTAAAAAAATATCTAAGAGAAGCAAACACGTATTAGTTTAATAAAAACTAAACATTTATATTATGTTAATACGGCTCAGCAAAAGTTCGCATTCTCAGGTCCTATATACAAATGTATATCGTCACAAAAAACCCAGACGGCCACATTTAACCTTTTAAAAATTTTACAGGAGAAGCATAAAACTATTTAAATTGAAAACTTTGTTTCTATCGGCACGATTTATTTTTATTCAATAAATGAAGCGCCCACAGCGCTTAATATATTTACCGACAGCCAGAAGGCAATTAGGGTGATATCAGATAACCTGACAAACGCGACGCAACAAAAGCTGAACTAAAAATATGGGTGAGAGAATCCCATAAGGCCTCTTGATATTAATGACACAGTGGGTAGAACCACGAAGAACCTATGGGGTGACCCTGATGAGAGCAGGACGAAAAATCTCCCCAAAATGAGCAAGTCTGAAGTTAATATGATGGTACGTATTCTGAGTGGACACACAGGATTACGAGCACATCTATGTATAATTGGAAGTGCGGATTCAGACGAATGTAGAGCATGTGGAGAAGACAGTGAAACTCCGGAGCACTTTCTTTGCCACTGCCAGGCATTCGTCGAAGTTAGATCCAAATATCTTGGAAGTGATGTTATTCCGTTTTCCGGAAATAACATTCCTGACTAACACTGATTGGAAGATTCTTAGGAATTACGTTCAGGAAACTAAGTTTCAGAACACTGAAAAATAATTCATTCAGTTCCCTTTTTTTCATGATAAGGAGCGCCCAACATGGCCGATAGTAGCCTGTTGTTCGCTCAAATCTTCGGATTTGATGTTGTATACATCCTCCTATCAACCTAACCTAATCTTTAAATGATACTGCCAATTTTCGTAATGATCGCGCCTTGAAGGTTAAAATTCACTTTTAAACACTAGTATCACGTTGAAATTCTGCACAAATAACTTTAATGTAAACGTAAATCGCTCTACTAATATTTCTTTCAGCAATTGCCTACATATTGTTAAAATATTTCGGAATCAGGTGAAGATATGAACTTTTACTTAATATGAACGTTATAATAGTTGACCAATTGGGATGATGAAAATTAGTATAACGTAAGCAACAATTTCATACAGAGAAAATACTTTTTAAATATAAACTTCTTTTGAGATAAACTGGTATTTAATATCCTTTAATTCAAATTGCAACTTAAGTAGGACCAAAACAGCTTCCATCAAAGAATTAAGTTATAAAAATGTTTGAGAAATTTTGCAACTAGCATTAAATCTATAGTATTTAGTAATACAATACATATTGCCAACTATCTTCATATATCTTTATCAGTCTAAGTACTTACAAAGTATAGATTTATTCAAAACAATAAATATACAAATAAAAAAACAGACAAACATTTATGCAAAAGCCAAAAAATACTATGAAAAGTTATGCAAAAACTTTGAATGTAAAACAAAAAAATAAATGAAAAAATATTGCACAGAATGTCGTCGACTTTGCACAAGGTGTTTCGTAGAGCACAAGTGCCAAGACTGTAAGTATGATAAAGTTTTATAAAAGTTTTTTTCCAGCTTGTTTTTAGTTTTTAAACTATATTTTTTTCTTTTTTTGCAGAGTTTTAAAGTTGTATTTTTGTATCTCTTGTTGGTTGTATCAGATTTCAAACACCCTGTGTTCTTGCAAGGAGATAAAAAGAAAAAAGAGCAAAAGTTACAAAATCGTATACGGCTAATGGAATAACAATAGAAACTTAAAATATGTAAAATATTTGGCTAAAGTATTATATTAATTTTAACACTTTAGGAAAATAAATACTTAAATACATATATAATGGCTGCTGTGATAAGTTACGATCAGGTGAAGCTATAACAACATGGATGTAATTAGTTTTATGTACCTTTAACTCTGCCAAATTTTGTTAAGATTTATCCATAAGTTATGGAAAAGATATATAAATATAATAAGGTGAAAATCGGTCCACAGTCTAACTAAGTAAATACATAGAATCACCTATTAAAAATCACTTATGTGTTTAATCAAAAAATTAATTAATTAATTAAAATACTTTATTAAACAAAAAAATAATTTATATCAAAATAATTTAAGAAGTTGGATCTAAACCTGAACGTTTTGTTATATATGTACTCGTTATTTCCTGAGCATTAGTAACATTTACTCCCACAGTATTGAACAAAATCTCTGTATTTAAACCACAATTAAAAGCCACAGAGAAACCTTGCATAACATTACCAGCATTTGGACCCACATAATGTATACCCAAAATCAATTGTTGGCCCTCACGTTGGGCAATTATTTTAATATAACAGAATTCAACAACCTTCTCGGGTAGTGAAAACTCCAAAGGATTGTAATGATTGTGATATATTTCAATATTTTCCTCTCCAAACTTTTGTATAGCTGTTTCTTCGGACATGCCAACAAAAGCATATTCTAGAGGAGTAAAAAGTGTAGAGGCCACATTTTCGTAATTTAGTTTCTGACTAGAGTGCGAAAAGAGTCTTTGTGCCAAGAGACGACCAGCCATAACAGCCACCGGCGTTAGTTGAGGACGTCCTTTGGTAATATCACCCACTGCATATATGTTTTCCACATTGGTACACTCTTCTTCATTTACCACCAATAAATTATCGTCTGTTTTCAAATTAACAGCCTCAATATTAAGATCTTCTAACTCTCCTTTACGACCAGTAGCCCAAATAACAGTGTCAAAAGTATCTGTTTCCTTTTTATGTAATTTAACATTTTCATATTTTACCAATAAACGACCAGTTTCAAGCTGCTCCACTTTTAGAGGTTTATAAGGCATTAAAAATTTAATACCTCTTTCTTTTAAGGAATCCGTTATAATATTCACCATTTGCCGATCAAAATTTCTAAGAATTTTATCCCTTACCATAACGGTAACATCAAAACCAAATAAACGCAAAAAACCGGCACATTCCATACTTATATAACCAGCACCCACAATTAAAGTTTTACCCGGTGGTTTAGGCCAACTAAACAAATCATCACTGGTAATACCATACTCTCGAGCGCCTGGTATATTTGGATACACTGGCCGTAAACCCACTGCTATAACAATATAGTGACCAGTGTGTTTCACTTGTGAGCCATCTTTCATTTTCACTTGAATGGTATGATTATCGATAAATGATGCTGTTCCATTAAGATATTTTATATTTTTGGTACGCAATTCTACTCGAATAATCCAGTTGGTAGATTTTATTTGATTTTGCACTTCCGTTACAAGGTTGTTCCAATTTAGGGTGATATCTTCTTCATTGGTTATCTTCCAACCATATGAAGTGGCATCGTGTATGGCTTCACCTAGTAAAGCTGCTTCATGCATCAATTTCTTGGGTATACAACCTACATTCACACATGTACCGCCTATACCCCAGCTGGTGTTTTTAGGTGTTGACTTAACATAATCGATACACAATACTTTAGCGCCCAATTCGTTTGCTTCCTTGGCACAAGCTAATCCTCCTGAGCCACCACCAATGACTATTATATCGAAATCAAAATGTGGAACAATTGACATTTTTAATAATTTATATATTTTTAAAGTAAATAACAATATAAACTAAAGGAGTTATTTCAAAAAATTTCGAATTTTCTATTTATTCAAAATACCACCATATAGGAATACCTAAGTCCCCTGTCAAAGACTTAATACAGTCGTTCAAAAATAAAATGTGAAGTTTGGTGAGAAGGTTTTCAAGTGTGTTTAATTCTCTCAGAACTCGACAGTGTGAAGAGAGTAAAAATATTTGTTTGTTAACTGCTTCAGTTTCGCCTATATGTCGATCCCGGAGAGGGTCATATTTAAAAAAAAAAAATTAATTTTTTTGGAAACAATGAAGAAATTGCTATCTGAACTCCTTTTGACAATTTTTGCAAGGACCAATAGGTGAAAAGATACACTAATTTGAATAGACCAAAATATTCAACTTTAACCCCCTTGGCTGAAAATTTGTGACTGACAAATTTTATCAAAATCGATTTTTTGAGTTAGGTCACTTGACATGAAATTGCCCATATAAAAATATCAAAATTTATAATATTCAACTATCAACTAGTTACATTCTTGTGACCCATATTAATTTCTTACTTGATTTTTCTATGGCTTTAAACTTTAAATATCAACATTAAATTCAAAAGGTTCAAAATAAAAAAATATGTTTTTCAAGTTAATATTTTATTAAAATTTACGACTGCTTGCTACACCCAACAACAGCCATTAGTAATTAACTTCATTTATATGAATATTTTTTTTTTTCATTTTAATTCGCAATGTACTTTTTTAATTACGTCCTTAATTATCAGTATAATCACAAATATTCATAAGACAAGGTCATAAATGTTTTAAGTACATTTAAATTTCAAATGCATTAAATATTTATGTATGTAAGTATAAAAGTATATGTTAACCCAGTCGTATATAGCCGCATTTCTTACATGTTATATTGTGCGCAGACAATGTGTTTACACCGGAGTCTACTAAAACGAGCGATTATACAATTCCACAAAAATCGTGCCACTCTTAATGATGATCCACATCTGTAATAGCATTAGACAGTAAAGTGCGTTAAAGTAATTTTCTGAAGGGGGCCTAATAGGGGGGTAGGGTCAATTATGGACCGAATCTCGTAAGAAACTTACTTATGTCTAATTTCAGCGCCATAATCGTATTTTTAAGACAGTAGTGAGCGTTAAAGTAATTTTCTGAGGGGGGCCTTGTATGGGGAGAAGAGTCAATTGTGGACCGATCTTCATAAAATTTGGTAGAGATTTTAACTTTAATCGCTGTACTCTTATTATTAAGGCAGTAATGAGCGTTAAAGTAATTTTCTGAAGGGGACCTTATATGGGTGGGTATTGTAAATTATGGACCGATCCTCATAAATTTCGGTAAAAAGATTTTTGATCGTGAGGAACTTACTTATATCGAATTTCAGCGCTATACTCGTATTTTTGAGCCAGTAATGCTCGTTAAAGTAATTTTTTAGAGGGGACCATATATGAGGTGTATTGTTATTTATGGACCCAACCTCATAAAATTTGGTACAGAGAATTCGGCTCATATAAACTTATTAATGTCGAATTTCATCGCCATACTCGCAAATAGCTATGACTGTTAAAGCTGTTTTTCGCGGAGCCACTTGTATGGGGGCTATACAAAAACGTGGATATTGCCCATTTTCAATAACAAACGAACCTTAAAAAATATATGTGGAAAATTCAGCTCTCTCCGTTCGGCGTCTATCGTGCTTTCAACAGACAGACAGACGGACGGACGGATAGACATGGCCAGATCGTCTTAAAATTTAATAAGGACCCTGTGGGTCTATGATCAACAATTCAATATAAGCCCCATCTTTTTTGATGGTGGATATAAAAATGTAGCCTTGTATAACAGTTTAAGTGTTTAGTAATAGAAAACTGTGTCCTATCCCAACATTAATTAAAACAAGAAAGAAAGTATAGTCGAACATAGCTGACTATATGATACCCTTCACAGCTATGGGTATGAATGGGTGCTAGATATAATATTGGACCAATTTCAATAATTTCCTATAGGAAATTGCGGCTGTTTACAAGAACAGTCAGGCGTACGGGCATTGCTTAATTGTTTAAAAAAGTGATTCTGAGTAAATTGGTGTACTTTAAGATTAGTGTATGAGCAATAATTAGTACATATTCCTTCCTTGAAAGTGGAAAAAGTCACAAGGATTGAGCTATAATTGCTCACTCAAATTCACTATTGGAAAATCACTGTTGTAAGGTATCATATGGATGGGTATGCCAAAGCATATTTTCAGTTTTTTGCTATCATTTATATTCCTATGTTTGCATATACATACATATAAACCGTTTTTTTATGATATGCCTTATGAATGATAAAAGTATTAAATCATTAATTCTTAATGGAAAACATGAAGTTTAAAATACATTCATTTATTTATAATTCTATGCAGTACATACTTATTACATACAAGTACCCTCTCCTCTAACGCACATTTATATGTTTGTATATGAAATAATACAGAAATTTAAATCAGTACTTAAACAATAAAAGCAACGTAAGTATTTAATTAATATTAAGAAAAAATATGGCAACTATAATTAATGTAATTTCTGCATCATTAAAATAAATACTTTCCACTTCATGGGAAAACAATTTTTTTCTTTCATTTTGATAAACATATGCACTTCATAGTATTTCATACTGCTCACTTGAATTAAATTTTGTACAATTCAGCTCATTTGCATTATTTATTTAAAGTTTATTTTTTTTAATTTTCAGTAGAAAAATAAAACTTTTAAATACATATTTCATATAGCAAGGAATACTTGTTTTTGCATTTTAAACACTCGATTAAGTACATTAAACCTGTAGCAAGTAAAACGTACCTGGGCATGTTAAATTATGGCAATTCAAATTTATATTTATAAAAAGAAATTTATGAAACTGGCATTTATATACATATAGCAAATGTATGCATTACATTAAATTAAACAAATAATTGCTCAAAACATGTGATATGTTTTAAACTATAATTTAAGAATAAATTTCAATATATTTTATTGTAACTATTGGCGTCTGTTAACACCCGTCTTATACTGAATATCCCTATTACTTCATACGCTCATATGCATTTTCATCTTATACGAGCACATATCAGTAAAAGTCTAAGTATAAATGTATTATATATTTAGTAACATTTATACCATCATACAAAGTAAAATGGAGTTATTTTTCCACACCATTACACAGAATAGCTTTTTTTTAATACTAATATTTTACGAGTACCACCCTCACATATGCATTAAGATTGCTCAAAAAATAAATTAAAAATCTAAAGCTATTGGTTGAAAACTTTGCTTCATTTAGAGTTATGCTACGTTCACACGTATCAAATATTTGACGAAAATGACATGACCGTTTACATTTTCATTTACTTTAAATATATTTATTATGTTTTACACAAACATAATATATGTTTGATGTTATCACCTTATAACGTCTTTATTATTCGTTTCGGCATGATTTGTAATTACAAAAATCAAAAAAAAAAAAAAAAAAATATTTACAAAATATAGTGGTTACATCTTTTTTGTCAAATATTTGAAAGGTGTGAATTTAACTTTAGTAAGTATATTAATATTTCAATAAATATTCAGTGAAAAGTTGAAACTTTAGTTTAATCAAGATTTAAATACTCTAATCTTAAAAACTTATTGCTATTCAATTGATCTGAAATGTTCATTAATTAGCTGAAAATAATAACTTTAAACAAATTTATTTTTTAAGTCAGTCCTAATACAAGCATACAGACGTGCTTTAAAGATTTATTTCAATTTAAGTAGCATAACAAAATAAACAAGAAACAAGAATTAAAAATTATTTTATGTTTGGATTTACATTAGTGCAATTTTATGTTTTTTTTTTTTTGTTATAAAAAAAGATTTCCATTTAAACAGATAAACCAAAACGAGAAAAAGTATTATAGGGGCTATTTCGAATCCCAAGCACCTCCCATCAAAACATGTGAATTGAATTTCGGAAGGTATCTCCATATATTTAATTTAAAAAATATCAATGGCTCAACATTGAAAATAATATAGCCTATCGACGCTTCCAGATTGAGATCTATGTTCCACATTTGGAAATCGGTCGAGACGTTTGGGATTTATAATGAACATAAATAAATATTTGGCTAAGTAAAATGAATCGAAAAATATGGGAAACTTAGGAATTTTAGATAGCTATAAAATTACTTGGGGTTCATATTAAGTCCCAATTATGTGATTAAAGTAAGTTAGATATTTTAGGTCATAGGTTTTTAAAATCTTTTCAATAGTGGGATGAATATAATTTGAAAAACGTTAAAGAATATAATCTACATATTCACCAAAAGTAAAAACACTTTGTTATACAATAATCTCAGAAACAAATTGAAGTTGATTATTATTTTTAATTCAATCATGAACGTTAAAGTTATTTTTTGAAGTTAACCTTTTATGGGAAGTATGGACAAATATCGACTATCCTCATAAAATTTTGTACAAAGATTTTGGTTTATATAGAACTCCTTAATGCCTAGTATGGTATGTCCAATTAGGGATCGATTCCCACAAATTAGTTATAGAGATTTCTGCACTCGAACTTTTAAGCCAGTAATAAACGTTAAGGTCTTTTCCTAAAATTGTACAAAATACACAATTTCATCCCTGTGTTTGGTAATAACAAAACAATACCATTTCAATACCATCCGTTGTCAAAGTATATACATACGCACGACCACACTATGTAATGTTGACAACGCAATGTTGTCAACATTGCAACAATTCGTTGTCGAAATCTAAATTTTATACACATCCTTTGTCTAAATCTTAACAAACGTGGTAAGCTCACTATTGGCAACGGATTGTTTGTCAATAGTGTGCTTACCACGTTTGTTGTTGGCAACGAATTGTTTGTCAATAGTGAGCTTACCACGTTTGTTTACATTTATACAACGGATGTGTATAAAATTTAGATTCCGACAAGGAAGTGTTGTAGTACG